TTCTGATATAGAATACACGGAAATAATTTATTTGGTGATCCTGGTACACAAACAACTGAAATAAGATATTCAAGGGAGATAATTTGTATACCTTTCCTGTACGTTGTCTTTCTTAACTCTTCAAAGTTGTTCCTGAAAAGGGCTAAAGTGAATAAAAAAAGGACTCTACTGGGCGTGCTTTACTATGAATTTAGCGTGGTTTTATTTATTTATGCAAAGCATACCATTCTGCAATTTCCCAAACTTTATGTTGACCAAGTATTTTTACAATACATGTAAAAGCTAGAAGCCACAAAATAAAAAAATACCAGTACATCAACCCTTTAGGCTATCGTCGAGTGGTTATTTCACAAAGTCAACAGAAGGTCAAATTCAATTTTCCAATTTATGCAACGGTCCAGAATGTCGCGAAAATTGACTACAAATGAACGACGTTTATGACATGCAAAAGTCACTGCCCTGCTATCCAGTTTTAATCCTAGTCGCCAATGTTGTATTTCCTTAAATCATAGCCTAAAGAAGGGAAAACAGGCCGGGAGCTTACCAAAGCTTGCTCTTGAATCTTGATGTTGACTCTCCGCTAGCCAATGCAGAACTCAATTTCTTTCTCTCCGGGCACTCTCAGTCCCGCGAAAACCGTCGCGCATGCGCATGCAGTCCGACAGGTCTAGGACCACTAAATCATTTCCTGCATTCACAACAGTATATCAGAAATTCTGATATATCGGACCTTGGTGGCAGAGATCTACGTGGAAGAATTAAGGGAAGATCACTGCGTGGAGATTGGTCCAGGGGCTGTAAAACGTTGACATCTTCGATGTTTAAATGTCGTAATTTTTAACGTGGTGTCTTTTTTACCTATGATTAACGAATTTAAGAAATGCCCTTTTCAATTTTTTTGTTTATGCATTTTTCAAACAAATTATTAGTTAAACCACGGATTTATATTACAGGGATCGGACACTCCCAGTTAACCCTATATAAATGCTTAAATATCTTGTCGTGCACCCGATAAAGGTACATCGATCGATAATCTACCGGCGCTAAGCGTAAATGCCCGTTCGCAACGGATACCTACTTTACAAAATACCATATAGCTTAAATATTGCATCCTTGATCAACTGTGAATAACTTACATTGGCTTCTTTTTTATTTTGAAATTGAATTTATTACGTGTCCATAATAATTAATTTCAAATACCTGCTTTTTATATAAAAAAAAATGTAAATTTACCGCGGATTTCGTCAAGTTATTTTTTTTAATCGCCGTTGCGGACAAATAAACTATACCTTTAAAAAATAAATTAGATATTTGAATTGAACAAGTATTTTTCTTCAAAATAAACTTTAAATTTCCAAAATCGGATAATAAATGGAAAAGCTATATGGTATTTTGTAAAGTAGGTATCCGTTGCGAACGGGCATTTACGCTTAGCGCCGGTAGATTATTGATCGATGTACCTTTATCGGGTGCACGACAATATATTTAAGCATTTATATAGGGTTAACTGGGAGTGTCCGATCCCTGTAATATAAATCCGTGATTAAACAAGATACTGTCATACAGTTTAGAAATCAAAATCAAACTCGCAACCTCCCAGTCTAAATTTTAGGGATATATCCCGCGCTTTAATTATCTTATCCGGCGGCCATATTGGATAGCGAAACAGATTAAACAGACAGTGTTAATTTTTTTTTAAACAAATCAGTTTAACCCTGAAATAAGCTGTTGTTTAAAACATGCAACTATTCTATTGATCGCATATTGATACGATAAAAAAACCACTTTTAACCAACCTTGTTTTGCAATATTTTGAATTTTATTTACTATCCATTTCCAATCGCTTTTTTTCTTTTTTCATTTCGCCCGCGCTATTTCTGATTGGTTGATAGGATTCACGTGATACAAAACCAACGCTTTAAACTCATTGGTTGTTTTGAAAACGCGTGATATGCCTAGATACCGTTTGTGTAATAAATCATTTAGCATTAATAATGCCACGGGTTTATATTGAGGTCCGTGATAATGCGAAAGAAACCAGCATACTAAGACCTTAATTCGATTCAAAATAATGCAATATTAAATTGGAAATATTATGTTTCCATAAACGATAACTTTGCATACATGTATAACATAATCATTTATACTTTTTCATAGGCAAAAGTTTGATTCTAATGCTTAATCGGTTATTTATTTTTTTATAATAATAATAATAATAATAATAATAATTATAATACTGATGATGATGATGATGATGATGATGATGATGATGATGATGATGATGATGATGATGATGATGATGATGATGATGATGATGATGATGATAATAAAAGACGTTTTAGAAGCGCTCAGAAATATTCATAAATTACACAATTTTTTTTACAACAACAACAAGCGGGTAAAACATGAAAATAGAAATAAAAAAATAACTTCGCATGAGAATGTATTTTTTTTTTTTTTTTTTTTTTAGTCGAATTGTCAAAATTCTAAAACATTAAATTGCTTTAATTAAGAAATAGATATCAATTCTGAGTGCATTGTTGTAGAATAATGCACTGTTTGAGTTCAAATGCGTAGTAATATAATCACGAAGGCCGGTAGGCTTATACAATAATGCACGAAGAATTAATATCTATTTCCATTCTAACACGTCAAGAAAAAATATAATTATTATTTTAAAGTTGGACTTAATGTTTAGTGGTTTAATTTGTTTTTCGTTATAGAAACGCTCTTTAAAGGCTGTTCCAGTGGGTTGAAAAAAACTGTCGTTAAATCTTCCTTGTGTAGAAACATTTTTAGAATAACGAATTTTAAAAACGTTGATAAAACTTTGTTTGCTTATTTTATTTCACTCTATAATTTTATAAGCGAACTACAAATTATCAAAAGTGAAATAAATGTTAAACTGAACTCGTTTGCGACATTAAAATAGCGTACTTAATTTGATTGTTATGCACGTGCCGTTTGGCGCTACACTGTGAAGTCACGTAAACAACACTTTAAACGTCTTTACAGCGTTAACGACTGAATTAAAGATATTGGTGTTCGGATTCATTTTTTTAGTTAGACCTTTTTTTTTTCATTCTAGATAGTTTTCACAACAGAATTCGACAAAAAAATGTTTTTTATTTAAACAAAATGGCGCCCTCAATGTGAAAATACACAGGGAGATAATAAGAACGGTGAGTGCATTGTTATAGAATAATGCACGCTTCGGGCCTTCTTTGTTTATATAGAAAAAAATTCCGATAGTGTTAGAATAAAGGATTGATAATTATCACATAAACCGCGGCGCAGGAGTGTAATAAAGCCATTTAAAAAACGATATTACACTAGTGTAATAACACTTTGACGTGACGTCATTTGCGCTATACAGAAACATAGCGTTAAAGCGCGCTAATGTTAGCGTTACACAATGGGCGCGTCATTGAAAAAATACTCATTTAACAGTTTACTGTTCTTATTTTATATATGTGATAAATAGAATATTATATTCGTGTAGATTCAATACTAAATTTATTGAACTCGTTGAATAAAACAATATTATGCTCGCCAGAGGCTCGTATAATATGATTTTATTCAACTCGTTCAATAAATTTAGTATTAAACTACACTCATTCAATATCCTCTATTTAATAGTAAAATTTCTCATATATTTTAGTTTGACAACTGTAATTAAATAAATGTATGTGTGTTGAAAGCTCAGTACTTTTATTAAAAAAAACTTTTTCTTCATTATCTGCTCTAATGAAATAACTGTTCTGTTTGGAACTTTATTCATATTATGTCCCAGTTTCTATTATGCAGTAGACACTTTATTTTATTCAAATGAGCTTTAAAGCCAATGGGGACACAAAGCATACAAAATAACCAACAGTATATGACATCAACATATATACATTATATCAACAATCATCAAATGTTTGGAGATGATCGATTTGATTGATAAAGAAACTACCTGCCAAATTGTTCATGTAGTTACATATATAATTTCAAAATTAATATATAACTTACAAGTCTCTTACCAGATACATAACACTCAACGTTATTTCTCTTAAGAACAAAAAAACTCTTCAGTATCACAATTTTGACTGATATGATTTGCACACTGCCCAAGAATGTTGACGTATAGTAATAACAATCTTAACACTTACAAAATAACATTTACATATTCAAATGTATTCTGTATCGGTTATCTTAAAACTTACAAAATAATATTTAAATATATACATGTAATTCTGCATCTGTTATCATAACTGATGTATACATATATATGTAGTATCATCGTACATGATGAACTTGAGCTGACCTATGTATAATGCTTGTTTGCGCATGCTCCGTTTTTCTAGTAAATCTAAGATCACATGTTAAGGGTTTACAGAATAAATTTATATCTTGTGCTGAACACTCGTCGTGTTTTACTTTACTTCATTGTATCAACGCACTTGATTTAATTTCTATTAATAATTGTTCATTAATAAACGAACATTACAACATGGTGTCTGAGTAAAAACGTTTAATAAATAACCTGGACATACGATAAAAAAAAAAATGGAATATTTATCTAAAAAACATAAAGTTACACAATTAAATTAATATTTGAAAACAAAATGGAATTATCTGGATTGTCAGTGCCCCAAATGGACTGGGAATCTTCGAATTTACCTGAAGCTTATAATAAATTCGAACGTCACGCAAAACTAATGTTTACAGGACCTTTGAAGAAAAAGTCTGAAGAAGAACAAGTTTCTTACTTTCTATTATGGATTGGTGATAAAGGGCGGGATATCCACTGCACGTGGAAAGATATTTCTGAAGACGATGCCAAAAAGATCGACACGTTCTACAGAAAATTCAGAACTTATGTGCAACCTAAGCTCAATCCAATATTTGCTTGATATAAATTCTACAATCAAACACAGGGAGAAGAAATCATCGATTCGTTCTTGACAAAATTACAAATCTGTGCACGAGACTGCAGTTTTGCAAACACAGACGAAATGATACGGGACCGTATTGTATTTGGCACAAATTCTTCTAAGGTTCGAGAAAAGCTCATTAACGAAGGTGCAGAATTGACCTTAGATAAAGCTGTACAAATCGCTCAAAATATGGAATATTCCAAACAGCAATTGAGTTCAATGGCATCTGCGGCGGACAAGGACGTTCACCAAGTGGCAAGGCCTAGAAAACGTTTAGTCCGAAGGCGGGAAAAGCCACAAGACAGTGACGGGAAAGTGACCTGCTCCAGATGCGGGACAACACATCAAGAGGGCAAAACGTGTCCAGCGAAGGGGAAAACGTGCAGAAAATGTGGCAAACTGAATCATTTCCAGAAAATGTGTAAATCACGTAATACTGTGAACCGGACTTATCGAGTGACGATCAGGATTTCTATGTATGCACGGTAAATGATTTCAATACTTCTCGACCTGATTGCGCAATGGTTAAACTCCAAATTGGCCGAAAGTCCGCCCCTGTAAATTTCAAAATAGATACAGGTTCTCAATGTAACTTGATACCTCAGGAAATGCTCAAGAAACTAGATTTCAAAGGCCCCTTGCTACCCTCTGATGATAGGTTATCTTCCTACACTAAAGACCCTATCCCAGTTTATGGAAAGGTCACCTTACCCTGTAAGTTCAAGGATAAGGAAATCATTGCATGTTTTCATGTGGTAGGCAGTAAATCTCCAGCATTATTAAGCTTACAAACTTCAATAGATCTGAGATTGATAAAACTGACCTATGCTATAGAAAAACAACCGGTCACGTTAGATAAACAAAAAATATTGACTGATTACAATGACGTATTTAAAGGCATTGGTTTATTCCCAGGTACATGCAGTTTACATTTAAAACCAAAAGCTATACATGTAATTTGTCCACCCAGGCGTGTACCTGTAGCTTTACAGGACCGTTTAAAAATGAGTTGAAGTCTATGGAGGATAAAGGAATTATCCAAAAGGTTACTAGACCGACTGACTGGGTCAATTCATTAGTCTGTGTGGAAAAACCCAGCACTGGAAAGCTGAGGGTGTGCTTAGACCCTGAAGCACTAAATGACAATATCATGAGACCGCACTACCCTATGAGGACTATAGAAGACGTGACAAACCAATTGACAGGTGCTAAGTACTTCAGTGTATTAGACGCAACGAAAGCTTATTGGTCGATAAAATTGACGGACGAATCCTCATATTTGACGACATTTAATAGTCCCTTCGGTATATACCGATATTTGCGGCTTCCTATGGGTATAAAAAGTTCCCAAGACATATTTTGTCAAAAAATCGACGAATTTTTCGAGGACGTGACAGGCGTGATGTCAATAGTAGACGATCTTCTTGTGTACGGACGGACTATCGAAGAGCACGATGCAAACCTGACACGTGTTTTGGACCGAGCACGTGAAAAGGGTATTAGGTTTAACCCAGACAAATGTGTTATCGGCTCTCAGGAAGTTAAATACTTTGGTCACGTACTGACAGCTGACGGTCTAAAGCCCGATTCCGAAAAATCAGGGCAATTGTAGAAATGAAAGCCCCAGAAGTTAGAAACTCTTCTTGGCATGATCACGTATCTGTCAAAATTTGATTCAAAATTGGCAGAAATGGTAAGCCCTATGCGTGACTTGTTGAAAAAAGACATTGAATTTATATGGGACAGTTCGCAAATTGACGCCTTTGAAAAGGTTTATGTCGCAATGACTAAGGCACCAGTCTTGGCATACTATGCCCGAAAAAGCCTGTCACATTGCAAGTCGACTCGAGTGCACGTGGTTTAGAATGCCGGTGCTCAAATAGAAAAAGAGACATTAGCCATATTTCATGGTCTTCGACGTTTCAAGCAATACTGTTACGCAAGACAAACCTGTTGTTTCAGTTTATGAAAAAATAAATATGTCGGGCGACCCCAGACTACAACGTCTCTTAATACAGATTCAACAGTTCGACATAGAAGTCGTACATATTAGCGGGTAAAGCATTCCCGTAGCGGATACACTATCCCGTAATTTTGTCAAGGACACGTATCAAGAATTGTCTGACGGACTTGACGTGCACGTGTATACGGTTATTAATAGTTTACCGGTTAGCGACGGAAAATTACAAGGCCTCAGACTTTCCACACAGCAAGACAGTCAGTTTCAGACACTGAAACAAACAATTATTGACGACTGGCCTGAATCTAGGCATGAGTGCCCGAATTCCATATTAGAATTTTGGAATCATCGGGATGAACTCTCGACTGTAAATGACATAATTTTCCGCCGTCAAACATTGGTCATTCCAAGTTCATTGCGAACTGAAATGATTTACGCTGTTCATGTGGGAGTGACTAAAACGCTGAACAGGGCCAAGGATATTATGTTCTGGCCAGGCATGGTCAAACAGGTCACAGACCACGTGTTAGCATGCCCTTTATGTCTAACACACAGAGCATCAAATGTGAAGGAACCTTTGAATCCCCACATTGTGCCCCAAAAACCCTGGCAACATATTGCCGCTGACTTATTTACGCTTGACGGACGTGATTACCTTATAACTGCCGAGGTCTACAGTAATTACTTTGAAGTCGATGCATTGCCAGAAACAAAAAGTAAAACTGTTATTAGAAAATTAACAATGCATATGGCTCGCTATGGTCAATTAGAGACATTGAAAAGCGATAACGGGCCACAGTTTAGCTCAGAAGAATTTCAAAAATTTGCTTCTGACTGGAATTTTAAGCATGTAACATCTACACCTGGATATAGTCAATCCAATGGTTTCATAGAAAAAATGGTCTCAATAGCCAAAAAAACAATGAAAAAATGCCAGGCGACCAAAACAGACCCATATTTAGCATTTCTGGAATATCGTAACACACCTTTAAACTGCGGATATTCTCCCGCACAACTGTTAATGGGCAGACGGTTAAAATCCATTTTGCCTTCAACTAATGAGCAATTGAAACCATCTTTCATTAACCAAAAATCTGTAAGAAAATCTCTGCAAGAAAACAAGGTTACGCAAAAGAACTATTACGATAAAAGTTCGAGGTCACTTCCCCCGCTAAACAAAGATGACTCTTGCAGGGTGCAATTTGGGAAAACTTGGAAACCAGCCATAGTTCTAAAAAAAGAAGGGGAGAGATCATACAAAGTTCAAACTGAAGATGGCGCTATTTACCGCCGTAATCGCCGCTTCATAAACAAAACGCGGGAAAAGTTCCCTATCAATACAGAGTCCTTCACTAATATTCTCCACCAAGGTCAAGATCCTAACAAGTAAAAATGGTTTCCTGCGGGGAACATTTTTCATGATATAAAGATATTTCATTTAACTATTTTCAACACCGTTTTGGCAGAGGGGAATAAATAAACGTTTATATCGGGAATATAGTTGACAATAATCGATCAATATAGAAGGTCTTTCAAAACTGGTGACCGTTGATGACCGGAGAAGGTCGAACATAAAACAATTATTTCTTTTTAAGAAAATGATTAAATAGGCCTACCATATTATGAATAATTAAAAGCAAAAAAAAAATAAAGTAAACACACAAGTTTACGCAGAAAATATCTCTATTTATTATGGCAGATGCCACTACGAATATTTTAATTTTGTAGATTTTCAGTATAAACAATTTATTGTTTGTAAAATTTGAGATACATATATTAAAGAAACAATGATAATTTTCAAATAAATCATTCAAGTTTTTCCACCTTAAACGGTAAAATAATTATAGAAAATTAGAAATATCACGTAATAGGTTTTTGTTCTTAATTAGGTTTAATTCTGACTAATTCCTTCGAGGTAATTCCGTAAAGTAACGACAAACGGTATTTAGCCAGGTTATCGAAAAGGTCAATTAACCAATCGTGTACGGTTTACAGATCACATGCTCCTCCATGCACCGAAAACTGGTCACGTGCTCCTCCATGCCTCAAAAGTAAAAGGCGTACCAATACCCTGCGGTCTCCGGACCGCAGGGAATGATATAATCTCAAACAAAGCACCTTGAAATGATACAGGTATTTCCCAGAATATTCAAAATCCTATTAGCCATGAAACAAGGTCAGGCACAGGTTATCAGACGCGCAGAGGTCGAGGAGTAAAACCTAATAAACGTTATAATACCGACGAATGAAGCACTGTTAATCAATCATCCGGAATGGATAGACATTATAATGTAAAGACAAAAAAAGAGAGAACAGAAATAAAATAATAGTAATAATAATAAAAAAAAAACTTTGTGACTTTAAGACTATTTAAATTGTTCTCTTCAGTATGTATATGTATTTTTAATCATCATAATTGTTTATTATCATAAACAATTTTATTAACATGTGTTGCTTATTTTTTCTTTTAAAAACAGGGAGATGTAGTATCATCGTACATGATGAACTTGAGCTGACCTATGTATAATGCTTGTTTGCGCATGCTCCGTATTTCTAGTAAATCTAAGATCACATGTTTAGGGTTTACAGAATAAATTTATATCTTGTGCTGAACACTCGTCGTGTTTTACTTTACTTCATTGTATCAACGCACTTGATTTAATTTCTATTAATAATTGTTCATTAATAAACGAACATTACAACAATATACTAATATACATGTAATACTAATTGAAAATTGTAATTATTATTGACTTTAGTACATAAACAATATTGACATATGTGTCACGGTTCAGCGCTGTTAAAGAGGAAAAATGTGTAAATGGCCGGATAGCTCCGTCTTTAGTACCCCGAACGGTACTTGAGGGTCTCGGGTTCAAGCAAATCAGGCTCCACTTTTTTCTTTACCTGTGATACTTTGCGCCCAACGGGGCACCGTGACTGCATATAGCTCAGAGTTTCAGTTCGCATATTGCTCTGTAAATCTGTTAATTTTAATAAAGCAGAGGAGTATGTAACTGTTCAGAACAATTCACTATTTAGGAGAAAAGATTTGTAAGGGACAGGATAGCTCAATCGAATCAGTATTTTGAGGGTCCCCGGTTCGAGTTTCGGTCAGACTGCATATTTTTCCCAGCCATTGTCATACAGAAAAAGCATTTACAGATACATCTATAGAATAATTCACATATCTTGTGAACTGTTAATTACACAAAGATTATATAAAATACTTCTATAACGTTATGACTACGATTTTTACAAATGAGTTTGTTTATATAATGACTTATTACTTGATGTAAATATTTTATGTTTATTGCAGGTGACTTATAGGCCAATTGGGCCGGGTGTATTTAATATGTTGTAAAATTAGATTTGTAAAATATGTTTACACATGTCACTAAAATAAAAAAATTACTTACTTACTTATACACAGAATAGAATTTAAAGATCCCACATAATCTGCGGATTTCATAATTGAAATAAAACTTTATCAGTATAAGAATATTTGGAGTATCGGTTACAATTCAAAAGTCCAATTTGAAAAGTGATTTTACTATCAATATATATAATTCATTATGTTCTTTACTTGATTTTTTTTAAAACAAACTGCCACAATTTTATTTTTTAAACAGAAAATTACTGACACAAAATCTGATTCCAAGATGCAGAGTTTATTTTAACCAGGGTACAAATGTTTAATTTACATAGAATAGAACAGAACAGAAAATTTATTTGTCGTACTTGACCTTTTACAGTTCATCGTTACATACATACATACATATATACATACATACATTTATTTACATACATGAAGTAATGTGACATTTTATATAACATATTATTAGATTATCATATATATATTGCTGTATTTAATCTCTAATTCATTTTCTTTTCTTTAAATATATGTTTCAGTACATTCTAGTGCATGAGTCATTTATTATGGTTTTTTTTAAGATTTAATGAATTCCTTCGAAAATCAAATGTTTTTTTTTACAATAATTGGCTAATTTATTTAAGATGTTTGCATTTGTACACTGTAACAATTCAGTAAATTTTAACATTCTTGGGCGTGTATAATAAAATCTAGGAATGCATTGTTTCCTTAATTTAGTATAAGCTGAGCAATTTTATACAAAATGAAATTCGTCTTCAATATCATTACATTGGCACAGTTGGCATTTCCTATCATTTCTATCAATATTTCTATTTCTTCCAGTTTCAATAAAAAGTTGATGAGACGACAAACGTAATTTAGCAAGAGTATATCTTGAACTTGAACATTTTATCATAGTTAAATATTCTGATATTTCAAAAATAGGTTTTATTTCTTTGAATAATAAAAGTGAAAATCTGGATGAGATATCCTGTCTCTAGTTATTTACATATGTATCCTGCAGTCTTATACGAAAATTACTGTAAACTTATTTATATCTACTGAAGAAGGAAAAAAACCAAACATCATTAAAACCAGCATTTTGTAATAAATCTCTTACTTTTGAAGCCCAATTGACAACATTATTATCTTCAGCATCCTGTCTTAATTTACTTATGCTACTTGATAAAATACAATTATTGTTTTTTTCGTTATGTAACTTTAAAAAATACTTAAAAATCCTTATTTCTCTACCTATATATAAAGGGAATCTACCCAATACATAGTACGGCCATGTTCCTCTGTCCTGAACAATGTTCAAGTCACCGAATTATACAGAAACACGGCTGATGGGAGACGAGGAAACTCGGAGATGATGAAGACTTTTTCCAAGAAATGCTATTTCGATTAATATGACATCATCTTGTATCATCAATACATGTATACATACACCGCAGTGACATTCGTCTGATTCTAGCTTGTTAAATTAGATATAATTGGACCTGGCGACATGATACTTCAGAATTAACTTTAAAATAAAACTTAATTGTGTCTTGTTTAAATGACGAATTCCGCCAGATAAAAGGATAACAACAACACGACACTGCAAAAACATTGAAAATAATACAACAGCTATGTCTGTTTCATTTAAATATGTAAGGTTAGAGTCTTTATAATATCTGGAATAAAATCATACAGAGACTCGGCTATAAGAATTTAATTCCATTCTTTCTTACATGAATAATATTAGAAATTAACAGTGAAAATTACCGTTAAGACATTCAATACCTATTACGCTAACTTACATAATCGGAGAAAACCGACACTCGTGATACCCTGCTGTGTTTATGATCAATATCCAGATCAATATCCGGCTTAATCAGTATTAGCTTCGATTATCGCAATACAGCACGTGGCTGTTACACAATATTATGTCAGAAATGAGACCGCGCGAAAAGAATCAAAATTGGGGAATTCGGAACTTCATAAGATTTTTTTTCCAAACCTTTATGTTTCCTGAAAAAATTGATTAAATAAATAAATGATTAAATAAATAAATGATTAATAAATAAATAAATAAATAAATAAATTTAAGAATAAATGAGTGATGAATGAATGAATGAATGATTAATTGAATGAATGAATGAATGAATGAATGAATGAGTGGTGAATGAAAGAATGTGAATGAATGAATGAATGAGATATCATTGTTGTTGTCTTTTACATATGCAAGAACATGTATTATATTATTTATAGGATATATATAAACGTAAAATTTAAATACTGTGTGAACAATCCCGATTTCATCTTCGTGATTTCACAATTTTACCTTTCACGATTTCAACTTCACAGATTCAAGATTTTAATATAATGAATTCATGTTTTGAACATTACAATTTTAACTTTATCATCTTCTCATGTTTGGCTTCTCATTTTAAAATATTATAATGATAATGATAAAGAAATTACTAAATAACATGATCCACCATAAATGCAGAATACAAAAAATTACTATCTAATCGTCAATCGCAATTGTAAAGTATTCGCTATTTATCTGCGGCTGTATGCTAAAAAGCAAACCAAGCGGTATTGAGCCAGAATACCGCGTTGCGTTGTATACAAAAGAAGATATTTCAATATACGTTATCGTTCTTTGTCTGCATGCTACAGGTGGATGTCTTACACGTTCTGTGCACTGACGATATTATTAGTATGCAATTGACGTGTTAATACCTCCAGAAAATATTACATTGTGTAAAAGCTTTCCTGTTTTATGTTATTTTGTCAAATGTCTGACAAATATTAGATCAGACTATTTCTTTCCTCTTATAGGAAATAGGCGATTCAGAAGTAAATCTCCATTCGCTATTTCTATATACAGAATCCGTATTTGCACGAATACGGAATTTCGTATTTTAGTAATATACGGACTTGTTATAAAAATTCCGTATATCATTAAAATACGGACTTCGTATATCAAAGTTCCCGTATATTACGAGTGTACGGATCACCGTATA